AAGAGAAGAGGCATCAGGGAGGGACATGTTTCTGACAAAGCAACAAAGGAGCAACTGGCATCGCTGATAAACGTTGCTGTTTTCCATGGGCCGCTTGGTTTTGCGATGCAAACAGTAGCAAGCCACAGTGGCATTCGTAGGCTGTGGCAAAGCTGGAAGCCAAAGCGACAGAAGCTGGGGCCGGCAGAGAAGCTGAAGAGGAGGGTGTGTGTGTGTGATAGTCAGCTGAGGTAGGGAGGGACAGGGCAAGGATGGCTTTTAGTGTTGTATTCACTTTGTTGCCTGTGTTGTTTTAGCTGGGGCATTTGCCTCTTTTCCGCAGGCTGCCAAAGCGCAGCTGGCTACGCAATTGAAGGAAAAAGAGGAGGCATCAGCAACTGGGGTTGGCCTCGCGTGAGTTCTAAAAGGGAGGGCCCATATGTCTGGTTCAACCTTTGAGACAGCCAAAAGGTTTCAATTGAGGACGCAGGTGAATTGTGTTTGGAGGATGGCATGGATTTGCAGGCCATAGCGAACCTGCAAGCCAGAGCGGCAGAAGCGCAAGCCAGCAAAGAGTCCGCAGAGGCAGGGTGATGGGAGCGGGTCATGAGGATCATTGGCGCCGCAGCGCAGGGAACGCTGTTTTGGGTTTTGCCTTGGTGTATTCTTTTCGGCCCTGTCGGCCCTGTTTTGGATTGAAGTGATTCGCGCGCTCTCACTTTTCTGTGTTAAGCAGCGCTTGCACCAGGCTGCCAAAGCAGAGCTGGCTGCACAGTTGAAAGAAAGAGAAGAGGCATCAGGGAGGGACATGTTTCTGACAAAGCAACAAAGGAGCAATTGGCATCGCTGATAAACGTTGCTGTTTTCCATGGGCCGCTTGGTTTTGCGATGCAAACAGTAGCAAGCAACAGTGGCATTCGTAGGCTGTGGCAAAGCTGGAAGCCAAAGCGACAGAAGCTGGGGCCGGCAGAGAAGCTGAACAGGAGGGTGTGTGTTTGTGTGTGTGATAGTCAGCTGAGGTAGGGAGGGACACGGCAAGGATGGCTTTTAGTGTTGTATTCACTTTGTTGCCTGTGTTGTTTTAGCTGGGGCATTTGCCTCTTTTCCGCAGGCTGCCAAAGCGCAGCTGGCCACCCAATTGAAGGAGAAAGAGGAGGCGCCAGCAAACTGGGGCTGGCCCATTCGTGCGTGCTGAAACGGAAACGCCCATTATATGTTTTGGTTCAACCTGTTTGCAATTGTTTCAGGCAGCGAGACAGATTCATTTGAGGACGCAGGTGAATTGTGTTTGGAGGATGGCATGGATTTGCAGGCCATAGCGAACCTGCAAGCCAGAGCGGCAGAAGCGCAAGCCAGCAAAGAGTCCGCAGAGGCAGGGTGATGGGAGCGGGGCATCAGGATCATTGCGCAGGGAGCGCTGTTTTGGGTTTTGCCTTGGTGTACGCTTTTCGGCCCTGTCGGCCCTGTTTTGGATTGAAGTGATTCGCGCACTCTCACTTTTCTGTGTTAAGCAGCGCTTGCACCAGGCTGCCAAAGCAGAGCTGGCTGCACAGTTGAAGGAGAGAGAAGAGGCATCAGGGAGGGGCATGTTTTTGTCAAAGCAACAAAGGAGCGATTGGCATCGCTGATAAACGTTGCTGTTTTCCATGGGCCGCTTGGTTTTGCGATGCAAACAGTAGCAAGCAACAGTGGCATTCGTAGGCTGTGGCAAAGCTGGAAGCCAAAGCGACAGAAGCTGGGGCCGGCAGAGAAGCTGAAGAGGAGGGTGTGTGTGTGTGTGTGATAGTCAGCTGAGGTAGGGAGGTTTGTTGCCTGTGTTGTTTTAGCTGGGGCATTTGCCTCTTTTCCGCAGGCTGCCAAAGCGCAGCTGGCCACCCAATTGAAGGAGACAGAGGAGGCGCCAGCAAACTGGGGCTGGCCCATTCGTGCGTGCTGAAACGGAAACGCCCATTATATGTTTGGTTCAACCTGTTTGCAATTGTTTCAGGCAGCGAGACAGATTCATTTGAGGACGCAGGTGAATTGTGTTTGGAGGATGGCATGGATTTGCAGGCCATAGCGAACCTGCAAGCCAGAGCGGCAGAAGCGCAAGCCAGCAAAGAGTCCGCAGAGGCAGGGTGATGGGAGCGGGTCATGAGGATCATTGGCGCCGCAGCGCAGGGAACGCTGTTTTGGGTTTTGCCTTGGTGTATTCTTTTCGGCCCTGTCGGCCCTGTTTTGGATTGAAGTGATTCGCGCGCTCTCACTTTTCTGTGTTAAGCAGCGCTTGCACCAGGCTGCCAAAGCAGAGCTGGCTGCACAGTTGAAAGAAAGAGAAGAGGCATCAGGGAGGGACATGTTTCTGACAAAGCAACAAAGGAGCAATTGGCATCGCTGATAAACGTTGCTGTTTTCCATGGGCCGCTTGGTTTTGCGATGCAAACAGTAGCAAGCAACAGTGGCATTCGTAGGCTGTGGCAAAGCTGGAAGCCAAAGCGACAGAAGCTGGGGCCGGCAGAGAAGCTGAACAGGAGGGTGTGTGTTTGTGTGTGTGATAGTCAGCTGAGGTAGGGAGGGACACGGCAAGGATGGCTTTTAGTGTTGTATTCACTTTGTTGCCTGTGTTGTTTTAGCTGGGGCATTTGCCTCTTTTCCGCAGGCTGCCAAAGCGCAGCTGGCCACCCAATTGAAGGAGAAAGAGGAGGCGCCAGCAAACTGGGGCTGGCCCATTCGTGCGTGCTGAAACGGAAACGCCCATTATATGTTTTGGTTCAACCTGTTTGCAATTGTTTCAGGCAGCAAGACAGATTCATTTGAGGACGCAGGTTAATAGTGTTTGGGGGATGGCATGGATTTGCAGGCCATAGCGAACCTGCAAGCCAGAGCGGCAGAAGCGCAAGCCAGCAAAGAGTCCGCAGAGGCAGGGTGATGGGAGCGGGTCATCAGGATCATTGGCGCCACAGCGCAGGGAACGCTGTTTTGGGTTTTGCCTTGGTGTATTCTTTTCGGCCCTGTCGGCCCTGTTTTGGATTGAAGTGATTCTCGCGCTCTCACTTTTCTGTGTTAAGCAGCGCTTGCAACAGGCTGCCAAAGCAGAGCTGGCTGCACAGTTGAAGGAGAGAGAAGAGGCAACGGAGACAGGGATGTGCCCGCCCTCCGAGATACGTTGGATGCAAAATGATTTTTACCTGGGGCTGACAGGCCACAGCAAAGCTTGATGCGCAAGCATTGAGTGCTGAGCGAAGCAAAGACGCTGCAGAGGCGGAATTGGCACGAGGTATGCATTTTACCGGATATACCGCATCTAGCCGATTGTAAGGCAGCAAAGCGAGAGCTTCAAGCACAGCTGGCTGCGGCGAAAGAAGAAGCGCCTCAGCTGCATGTCAGCGTGTTCTGCAGAGCGCTTAGTCCGCTTCCCGCCTAGCCAAAGAAATAATCAGCCTGGGCGCATCATGAGAGATACTAAAGTCTTGAGGTGCTTGACTGACTTGCGCCATAAGAGCACATTCCGGACTTGCGAGGCAACATCATACCTGCAAGCACAACTCTCTGGCAGTGAGGTGTCGGGGGAGGGTGTGCGTGCCTTGAATTGCCCTATTTTGTGTTCCGAAGTTGCTCCCTGCCAAGCGACTCTACAAACCGTCCAAAGATTCCAAGGGTCAGGGCCTTACTTGGCATTTTTGTTCATCAAGGCTTTTAAAGCCCCAACCTTGCGGATGTTGTGTAGGGTCCCTGAATGACTGAATAATATTCAGAGGAAGCCCTTGGACTACGGCTTCGCGCTTGGGTTTTGCGAGGACTTTTCAATCACAAATCCCCAAAATCTGGAATGAGGTGGTTGCAACCTCTGGAGTCTGAGGGTGTGTGGACGCTGGGCGATGCATCCGAGAGAAGGATGTTTGAGGGGCTTAGCGACCTTGACTCCAAGGGATAGGAATGTCAGGATCTGAAAAATGGGCACCCAGGGACCCATGTTTGTGTTGCAATCTTTTGGCGCTTTGAAAAGATCACCTGCGACGAATCATGAGGTTCAGTCCTGGCTTGCCGGACGTGCTTCTTGCAGGTTTTCGAAATTGCTCTGAGTCCAAGCTTCGAGCAAGCAGAGCCGTACATCATGCTCCAAGTAGTTCAGAGTTGAAAGAAATAGTACTGTTGTCCATGTGACTGAGGTGGATGTGCATCCAAGCCAGGCCAGCGGCAAGCTGCAGGAGAAGCTGGCGGAAGTCGAAGGCAAATGTCAAAGTTTGGAGGCGCCGGGGGATGGCTCGATTTGCGTGTTCATGTAGTGGGTGGTGTGCCCAGATAGCTCCAAGCTTGAAACAGGTGTGCTTTCGCTTGGAACCTTGGTTGCTTGATGGTTGCTTGTCTTCTTGCTCATGCATCCCAGAGTCCAACAGATTCGCAATTTCTTGTCTCGGCAAGGTGCCGTGTGTTGAGAGCGTTGCTTGTGTTTGGAGCAGCGCTACGCAAGGGACAGTAGCTTAGGGAACTGGAACCATGGCCATCGCTTGTTTGGAGCACTGGAGGCTGAAAAGGAGAACTTGAACAAGCTGCTCGAAGCTACAAAGAGGGAGGCAAAGCTTTAAAGCTTTGGATGTGTCTCAGTCTCTCTTGAGATGTGACAGGCGGAGGAACAGCAGCTCTCAGCAAAAGCGGAAGCTGAGGCGCAGCGCAATCAGCCCTGAGTTGAACAGATGCAGTGTTTGAGTAATCATCCGATGACCAGCCAATCATGCCAAACTGGCTAAATCTATCTAATCTATGGCGCATCATTGCCACAGTATCAAACACTTTGCTTGCAGTCCCTTCTAAACCCCCAGAACGTTGTGGCTTTCATGTCAAAGCCTTACTGGCGCTCCAGCAGGCTGCGAAAGCTGATTCTGAACGAAGCCTCAAGGACAAAGAACAGGCAAGTCACTATAGAGAGACGGAGACCTTCAGAGCACAGTTCTGGGCAGATCTGGGTATCTGGAGCTAGCAACAGGACGAGAAGTGTGAGACTTGTGGCCTCGAGCCAATCATTCTGCACGTAGGCTATCTCGATGCTGCACGCTGAAGCCGCAAAGCTACAGGCAAAGCTTGCTGCATTCTGACAATGTGGGAAAAGGCCAAGCTCGGTCCCCCACACGCCCCTGTTTGGATTTTAACCCGAGTCGAAAGCTTTGAAAGATGTGCGCCATGGTCAAAAGGACCCGGAAATCGAGTGCCATGTTTTTTTAGCCCAAGGCCGTTGGCGACATGCGGCCAGGCTGAGCGCGGTAAGCTGGACACAGAGATTGCGAAAGCCAAGGAAGAGGCGGGCAGAGTGTGCTGGACGGGAAGACGACTCAAAAAAGAAGCTTGAGCGGCGGATGGAGAGGTTAGACAAGACAACTGAGTTGACTAATATCGGGGGAGGCTAGTTCCTGACAGGCAGAAGCAAAGATCGCTACCGCAGAGGCCAGAAGAGCTCTCGGAGTCAAGTCAAGTGGGTGGCCTTCGATTGTCAAAATGATAGCTCCCCTCTTTGGACCCCTTTGTAGGATTGGCTCATATTGGCTCAAAGAGCAGTCTATGTGTTTGACAATCGATTGGTGCGTGTGGCCTTTGACAAGTTGTTATTTGCCACCTGATTGGAAGATAGGCCGCTTGTCGCTTTTTCATGATCTACAAGCAGGGCTTGGAGAGCATCATCAACAGAACGTCTCTGCATTTTTGGGGGTGGAAAACCTGTCTGAATTTGTAGGGTGTAGGCCAGGCTTTTGCTACAAGACGATGAGGCCTGCAATGCTGAGCTTCGCGCCACATTGGTTGCCAACGAGGTGGGGTCGCATGCTGCCTTTGGCTCGAACGCTTGTATTGATTCACAAGAAAACCAGCTCATGTAAAATATAGCGTAATCATGTGTGTGTGTGTGTGTGCGCGCACGCGTTTGCACGTGTGAACTCGTCGACATGCATGTAAAGACTGTGACCTTGGTCCTTTGGGTTGGTGGATTCAGGATACGTGTGCATAGTTGTGGTGAGACTGTACGGCAGAGATGAGAATGGTCCTCCCCAGGCTGCTTCCATTGCGCCGAAGCAAGTCTCAGCTGAGGAGGCTAGACGTGTTTTTTGTGCCGGCAGCTCTGGATTTGAGAATTTGAGAAGACCATCTCATGCCCACTTTGAAGCTTTCAAACATTTCCAGGAATGCAAGCTTGCAGCAAGGGAGGAGTAGCCCAGTTGCTCAGTGGCCACCCTTCTTCCCTTGTCATTTGGTGGCTTCCAAGCTACCCAACAATTAAGTTGCCCATTTTCTAACAGGGTTACTTGGCACGGAAATTCGATCTTTCCATTGCGGTGGTAGACGCGTCCGCAATTCCATGCGCACCGGTTCGCACCGGTTCACACCGGTTCGCACCGGTTCGCACCGGTTCGCACCGATTCGCACCGGTTCGCACCAGTTCGCATCGGTTCGCACCGGTTCGCTCCGGTTCGCACCGGTTCGCACCGGTTGGCGCCGGTTCGCGCCGGTTGGCGCCGGTTCGCGCCGGTGGGCACTTGCGAAAGTGCTGCGACTGCCACGAAATCTGTACCTGACCTTGCGAAGCCATGAAATCTGTGCCTGACCTTGCAAAAGTGCTGCGCCTGCCACGGAATCTGTACCTGACCTTGCGAAAGTGCTGCGCCTACCACGAAATCTGTACCCGACCTTGCGACAGTGCTGCGCCTGCCACGAAATCTGTTCCTGACCTTGCGAAGCCATGAAATCTGTGCCTGACCTTGCAAAAGTGCTGCGTCTGCCACGAAATCAGTCACTGATCTTGCGAAAGTGCTGCGCTTGCCAAGAAATCTGTACCTGACTTTGCAAAATTGCTGCGCCTGCCGCGAAACCCGCGCGAACCCGCGCAAACTCGCGCATGCCACGAAACCTGCACCTGACTTGCGAAAGTGCTGCGCCTGCTACTAAATCTGCACCTGACCTTGGGAAAGTGCTGCGCCGGCGACGAAATCTATAGCTGACCTTGCGAAAGTGCTGCGCTTACCACGAAATCTGTACCGGACCTTGCGAAAGTGCTGCGCTTGCCACGAAATCTGTACCGGACCTTGCGAAAGTGCTTCGCCTGCCACGAAATCTGTCACTGATCTTGCGAAAGTGCTGCGCCTGCCAAGAAATCTGTATCTGACTTTGCAAAAGTGCTGCGCCTGCCACGAAATCTGTACCTGACCTTGCGAAAGCGCTGCGCCTACCACGAAATCTGTACCCGACCTTGCGGCGACAGTGCTGCGCCTGCCACGAAGTCTGTTCCTGACCTTGCGAAGCCATGAAATCTGTGCCTGACCTTGCAAAAGTGCTGCGTTTGCCACGAAATCTGTCACTGATCTTGCGAAAGTGCTGCGCCTGCCAAGAAATCTGTACTGCGCCTGCCGCGAAACCCGCTCAAACCCGCGCAAACCCGCGCGAATCCGCGCAAACTTGCGCATGCCACGAAACCTGCATGACTTGCGAAAGTGCTGCGCCTGCTACTAAATCTGCACCTGACCTTGGGAAAGTGCTGCGCCGGCGACGAAATCTATAGCT